TTTTTTTTGAGACAGGGTTTCTCTTTGGCTTTGGAGACTGTCTAGAACTAGCTCTTGTAGATCAGGTTGGTTTGGAACTTACAGAGATCTGCCTGCCTCGGCTTCCGAAGTTCTGCAGATATTGAATCTTATGCTTTTGACTTCCAATTAGTTTAATAAAGTTACCAATTGAGGAAAATGTAATAGAAAATTAGTATCTCAGAGCAATACTTCCAGCAGAGTTAGTAATTATGAGAGGGAAAGACAGTAGATATAATTTTCAACATATTATATAAACTTATTAAGCCACAGAGTAATCAAAAAAAGAGGAATGACATTTATACACAGGAATCTTTAAAATGTCTCATTTTACCTAATATACAGGTATCTTCTTTTTCACAATTTTCAGGAACTTAGATGGCTATTCTAGGAAGAGTGTCATTACATAGATGCTTCTGGTGTTTTCAAGACTAATGTTAAGCAGTAACCCATAAACTTGTATAAATTCCTCAATTAGGGACACAGCCATGATATAAAATAGTTAGAAAAAGAGAATGTAATAGAATGTAACATCGGCCATTTGCAGAGCAACAAATGAAAGGAAGTAAGGAATCCAGAGTAACTATTATTCTGTTGTAGGCAGGTCAGAGCATAAGCTCAGCAGACACAGAGGAATGACTGGGTACCCCAATCAGAAATATATTCTTCCTTTGTGGGTTTCTGTTATGACTTTATCAATTTGGGGGGAAGTTCATAATAATCTTGACTGTAATAAGTTGTAAAATCTTTTTTCAAACTTTTTTATTTGAATTAGAAACAGGATTGTTTTACATGACAATCCCATTTCCCTTCTCCCACCCTTCTTCCCCTACCACTCCCCCAACTAAAACCTTATCTGTCACATATCTTTTCTGCTTCCCCTGGATGGTGAGCCTTCCATAGTGTGCCATCAGAGTCTTTTGTTTCCTTTGGGGTAGGTCCTAGGCCCACCCCCGTGTGTCTTGGCTCAGGGAGTATTCCTCTATATGGACTAAGCTCCCAAAGTCCACACCTATGCTAGGGATAAATAAGTAAGTAAATAAATAAATAAATAAATAAATAAATAAATAAATCTCATAATCAGAGGAGAGCATTTAATGTAGCCACTCCTCCATTGCTGAGATAGTTAGCGAGTGCCATCTTTGTAGCTCTCCAGACATTCCCTAATGCCTGATTTCTCTGTAAACCAAAAATGTCTCCCCCTATTATGATATCTCTATTCTTGTTATCATGTATTCTTCCCCTGACTCATATTTTCTGCTCTCTCATGTCCTCGGCATCCCTCTTCCTCTCCCCTTCTCATTCTCCTAGCTCCCTCCCCCATCTTCCCATGCTCCCAATATGCTCAGCAGATCTTGAACCTCTCCCCTTCTCCAGGGGACCCTGTAAGTCTTTCTAAGGGACCTCCATGTTTATTAGCTTCTCTGGCAGTGTGGATTGTAGGCTGGTAATCCTTACTCTATGTCTAAAATCTTTAGACTTCAGACTGCAATATAATCTAGAAATATGGTACAGCAGAAATTATGTGGAGAATCAGGCAGCACTGGTCACTGTAGAATACTTGATACAATGTTGTCACCCTTCCTTATCTGGGAGCAAGAGCAACAAGGTTGGAATAGCTCATTAAAAGTGTTCAGATCAGTAGATGATGCTCAGACACATGAAAATTTTGAGGAATTTGGTTAAACTTGAAACAACTGACAGGAGGATTCATCTCAGTAAGGCACCCAGGGCCTGTGACCCTAGCTATCCTATGGCAGATAAGGAGTGTGCAAATTTTTCTACAATTCTTGTGTTGAGCCAAATGGGCAACATCAATATTATTCTTTGAAAACATGCTATTGTAATGTGATCAATTTCAGTTGTAATTCATTCTTACTTTGCTACTATTTCAGTTAGGACATGGATTGCAATCCCAGAAGTTAAAAAAAAAAGACTGAATATACTCCTTTGATGCTTTTATGTGCTACAGGTGACAAAATGTCTTCTTTTAAAATTCCATTTCATGACATACTAGGTGAGAGGAAGCACTATAATATCTAGAACCACCAAAAACAGAGTTTGGATTTTTAATAAAAACAGGCTTTGTCATAACTAACCTGTACTTTTCAGCTGAGTCATCTGCCTTACTCTGTTTGTGTTTTCTTTGCTATATATCTTTCATCAATGGCAGCCATAGTAACTATTTGTCCTTGTACCTACAGATAATTATGGTGTTTATCCCCTCATCAAGGAAACTCTTTTGCAAATGGCAGTGATCACTAATGAAAACTATAACTAATAAAAATGCAGAGTTGTAAGGTCAGTTCCAGTGGATACAACTATTAAACATGCCCATACTTAAGAATCAGGTAACACTGATAAAGAGACCACGAAATATTATAAGAACCAAAGGATCAGAAACTTTGTTGTGAGATTGTATCTCCTAGAACATCAGCAGCTATACCCATAAAGTCTCAATATTACGCCTTAAATGTGACCAGAAGTAAAAATGCATGAATGAAAGTGCCAAAATGCATTGGGGATACCCAAGATCCTGAACCTGACATGAAAATTATAGGCAACTGAGCAATTCATGGAGCAGGAGGGGTGGTCATTCTGATGGAAAGAAAATAACAATTAGTTATCCACTGCCAAAAGATCAGTTAGAAAAACATATTTATATGTAACATTATATTGATTAAATGTTAGTTTAGGAATATATATTCAAATATATAGATAAAAAGCTATGAATATGAATGAGAATAAGGAAGTTTGGAAGGAGGAAAGGGAGGAGAGAAGTGTGAGATTAAATTACATTTTTAACATAAACAAAAATGAAGAAATGCAAGAAAAGGCATCAGTGACCTTCTGGGAGACATGTTTGAAGCATTCTTAGAATCTGTACCATATGTACCCACATATTTCACTTAATATGTGAAATTTTGAATGTTAAGTTCATGAGCAGTGCATTTATTGCTGTCAATACTTGAGACTATCTTATACATTAATATTGTAAAGAGCAACATACTTAGCTAAGTGGTAGTGCTTGGCACATGGCAGTATGTGTTAATTTCCCCCCCCCCGTCCTCGTTCTCTTACACACACACACACACACACACACACACACACACACACACAAACGAATGAAATTCACACACACAAATAAAACTACACACTTACAGAGAGAGACAGACAGACAGACAGACAGAACACAATGAGATTAGGGGTAACTATTTAAATATATAATATTCTATAATATATTCTATATATATTCTTTAAAATATAGAATATATTCTAGAATATACATATTCTATATTGTATAGAAAATGCTAAAATCTTTATAATGTACATTATTTCAATTTCTTTTCCTACTGTATTCTCATTCAGAATTTATGCATTTATTTGAAAATATAAAATTCATACTCTCTTTCTATAGTTTGATGGCAGTAATTTATTTTTTTCCCTAGAAACAAAGGGCTTCAACATCATATTCCGGTCAAGGATATGGACACCTTGACCTTAACATAGTGATTATATCATTGATCTAATCATAAAATCCTAGTGTGAGGGTCCATATAACCTTTGATTCACTTACTGCCCTGTATTTTTGAGGGGAAAATAATCAGTTTAAATGAAATAAAATGGTTAGTTTTGTGTACACCTTGACAGGCCTTCATCTAACCCTTACTATTTAGTTCTTTCATGGGGCAATCAGTGTTTTCATCTCTCATTGCTGCCTTAGGATACACATGTTAGGATACATATATATATCACCCCTTATCTGAAAATCTTAGTGATGTTGGCTTCTGTTGCTTGACCAGGCCCTGCTGCAAAAGGCATAAGACCCACACAGAAACTTCCTCTACAACCGTTAGAGATGGATTCCTAGTTTTGACAATCTCTAGCAGGTGCTGTTTTGCAACTCCCATGTTCACTCAGCTTTATCCCATCATTTCTGTTTGTTGAGAAGGCCGCTGTTCACCATTCTCTTGAGGCAGATGCAATACCATTGCTATTGCATCCTATGAGGCCAGAAATGCATAAATCTTGAGGTGTAGCCGCTCATGCTCAAAGGCTTTCACCTACAGAAATTAATCTGGAGTTCCTCAGCATCTCTTTCACTCAGATGAGTAATATATTTTGCAGCTGGGCCACATCAAGCAAGGAAGTTGTTTTTGTTAGGGTCTGAATCACTGTGTGAGGAATATGTGTATGTTGCAAGCAGTAATAAATTCCTAAATCCTCTGGATCCACTCTGCTGATCTTGAGTGTGAAGTCTGTCCCTGAGCCACTTCCACTGAATCTGTCTGGCACCCCAGAAAATCGATTGGAAACCTTGTAGATCAGGAGCTCTGGAGACTGGCCTGGTTTCTGCAGGAGCCAATTCATATAGGTGTTTCCATTACTATGTACAAGGCTCTGGCTAGACTTGCAAGAGATAGAAACTGAATCTCCAAAGCTGACAGGCATGGAGAGTGGAGTTTGGGTCATCACAGCATCACTGATTGAAGCTGAAATATTGAGAAAGTAGTGCAAAGTTACAAAGAAATTTAATGAATAATCATTGTTGATATTTATTTCAATAGATGCTTATTTTTACAAACTATGCACTTTTTACAATTACATACAATATTTTGTATACAACAATACCTCTTTTGATAAAACATGTGAATTGAAATCCCTCCAGAGTTTACAGGCATAATTTATACGACAGTTTATCTGTGTCACAATCTTAATTAAAGTACAGATTTTCTCCCATCTATAATCATCCATTCACAAATATGAACTCACATGTCCCACCCTGGATAATAATATCTGTTCTTTCATATATGGACAGAACACTTGTAATCATCAGTAATACTCAGAGATCATCCTCTCTTTCCATTCTCCAATCTCACTTCCCTCTGTCCTCACCAGGTATCCAGAACAAAAGCAGCACCAATAGTTGAACAGGCAACTTCATTTTGAGGAGGCAGCCTTAGGAGACTGATTAGTCAACACAAGAAAATATCTGTGCTTTTATCTGAGACAAGGAAGTATAGGGATTCTCACGGGAGCATTATGCAAAGGCCTGGGTGAGTGGTGCCTTATAGATACAGGGAAGAGTTATGCAGGCTTCTCATTATTGCAAAAAGCACATAAACTCTCTTCTATGCCAGGAATGACAATACATAAAAAATGTGGCACTTGATGAGAAAAGACCAAGCTAAAACTGTACATTAGAACAACCCCAGTAACACAATAAGTTATGTATTACAGAAAAACTGGAAGGACTGAAAATGAAGGTGCATGTAGATAGTGAATCGATGTGCTTTGAATGGCTATTCATTTCCTCCCCATTCATCAGTTTTACAGAGAAATAGATTTCTTTTTAAGAATTTCATATATAGAACTTAGGAGCTGATTTCCTGTGTTTAATAAATTTGTCTCCACAAGATAAGTAAAAATACCAGAAATGTGTATATTAAGTGATTATTATGAAATTATAAAGACAATGGATACTAAAAATAATTTTTCTGGGATGTATGGTTTAAGGACACTGAAAGTGACTGAGAGGCCTCTGGTGTTTGTGGTAAATGATATTTCATGGGTGTTTTCCAACATAACTATATGAGTTAGATACATATAACATTTTATATCACAAATATACACTATTGAAATGATCTTTTGATATTTTTATTTATTTATTATGTTTTGTATGGATATGTGTACAGATATGTTCATTCCATGGCATGCACATCAATTTCAGAAGACAAGGAATGGGAGTCAGTCCTTTTCTATGATGTTGGTCTAGGAAAATCTCAAGTAGTTATCTTGGTCAGAAGCACTTTTTTCATTGAGACATCATACCAGTTTATACAGTGAAATGGCTTTAGTATGATGTTTTTACAGAAACGGTCTTGGGAGCTTGATTGGTTGATCAGCAGTTAAGATTGCATTCTGTTCTTTCAGAAGACCTGAGGTTCACCAGTATAAATGTGCTCACTGTTTTCTATAATCTAGTTCCAGAGACTCCAACATACCTTTGTGTTTTCTATGGGCACCTTCCTGCAAGTGTACTTACACACAGAGAGACACCAACCCATATACATGCAGTTAAAAATAGATAAGGCTCTTTCTCACAAACAAAAAGATAGTGTGTACACAGTTGATAACAGAGAATGTTTATATCTCAGAAATAGAATTTAGAATTCTAGGGAATATGTTGTTAAAATCTTGTGAAAGCATTGGTCCTGGCTAATTGTGTGTGTGTGTGTGTGTGTGTGTGTGTGTGAATTTGACAAAAGATGGTGACATTTGGTTGAAAGAACTCTAGTTCTTAAAACATTAAAAAAAGTTTCCATCATTTCCACCTCTAAGCAAGTCTGTGTGTTATTGTCTTGATTAATATTAGATACAGGAAGTCCCACCTCAGGCTAGACTGTGCTAATCCTGGGTAGGTGATGGTGGGCTGTATAATAAAGCATATTGAGCAAACCATGTGGAGTAATCCAGTAAATATCTGCCATTGTTGCTGCATTTGTTTCTGCCTCCTAGTAACTTCCTTGCTTGCATTATAGCCCTGAATTTCCTTCATGATAAACTGTGAAGTGGAACTGTAACCTGACCTTTGCTCTCCTGGTTGCTTTTGTTCATGGTATTTAGCACAACAATAAAATGCCACCCAGAACAGATCTCCAGAGTTATTACATGGCTCTTATACTCAATGAGGAAGATAGGCTTCTTAAGAGAAAGGCTGTCTTAAGACCTTAGGAAACAATGAAAGCAGTCAATATCAGGTTTTCTTCTTTTTTTTTGAGTATTATTAAGACTCACCCTGTTAAGAGTCTTCTCCATACAGAAAACTGAATTCTGTTAGATTCTTGTTAGATTATTTATTATTTTTTTGGTTTTTTTCAAGACAGAGTTTCTCTGTGTAGCTTTGGATCCAATCCTGGCACTCACTCTGGAGACCAGCCTTGAACTGCCTCCTGAGTGCTGGGATTAAAGGCATGTACCACCACCCAGCTCTTGTTAGTTTTTAATGAGAATCTATCCTCCTTATAGACCTCTAGGTTCTATAGTCATCAAAATTGAGCATTCCACCTAGGGAACAAAAGTAGACTCACATTTTCATTATCCCAGTCCTCTGAGTCTTATTTGGAGATTGTCACTTGATACTGTGGTGCAGTGTCAGATCTACATAGCAAAGTCAGTCAGCTGGTGAACTCTAACCAAATTGGGGGGAATGTTAATTCCTACAAACACAAACCCACGATGGTATTAAATAGTACTTGAAAATTTTGTTAACTTAACATGGTTTAGAAGGGCTGTTATTGGATGGCAACCATTATACTAGATGATATAAAAATATACAAAATTCTAATAAATATTGAACACTTTATTCCCAAAGTATAAATTAATTGAAACCAAGAGACCTAGAACATACAATTTTTAAATGAGAAAATTAGGTCCTATATACAAATCTGTTTAATTATTTGATTTATATGGTAAATTATGAATTTTGTGTTTGGGACTCAGATAAAATGACTAACATTATTTAAAACAAAAACAAAACCAGCCTGCAATACACAACCCCAGAGAATCCAGGAAATAAGGAGGACCCTAAAAGAGACATACATGGACCCTCCCCCACAGAAGGATAAACAGACAGGATCACTTTAACAAAATGGAATGGTAGGGGAAGAGGAAAGGGGACAGGAGAAGATGAGTGTATAAGAGAACATAAGGGATTCCCAAGGTTGAGTCGGAGAAAGGGTAGAAAGGGAGAACAAAATAAAGAGATACCTTGATAGAGGTAACCATTATGAGGTTAATGAGATTCCTGGCATTAAGGAAATTCCTATGAATCCACAAGCATTACTCCAGCTAAGAATCTAAGCAATAGTGGAGAGGGTACCTTAACTACCCTTATCCTATAATTAGATTGATGACCTTATTTGCCATCATAGAGCCTTCATCCAGTAACTGATGGAAGCAGAAGAAGAGACCCACAGCTAAGCACTGAGCTAAATTCCTTGGGTCCAGTTGTAGAGAGAGAAGGAGTGGTAATATGAGCAAATGAGTCAAGACTATGTTGGGGAAACCCACAGAAATAGCTGACTTGAGTAAGGGGGAGCTTACTGACTCCAGACTGACAGCTGTATAAGACTTAAATAAGGCCCCTGAATTTATGGGCCTTGGGCAGTTTATGAGGCCATTGCAAGTGAAAACAGTAATTATCCCCATGACATGAGCTGGCTTCTTATAGCCTATTATCTGTGGAGGGATTGTTGTAATCCAGGCAAACATGACTCTGACTCTCACCCACCTGTGCATGGCAGGTGTATGTACCATGACCCTTGAAATGGAAAGCTACAC